CATTAAGGCGTTATGAGTAAAATAATGCTGAAAACGGATCTACAGTCAAGAACTTTTAAGTCATTGCAAGGTTCGCCTAAGTTATGGACACTTAGAGTATGGTTATCACTAAAGCGTTTGTTGCCGATACCAGGGAAAGCTCATCCGTTACTTTCTGGAATGCATACCTACAAAAGGAACAAGTATAATGCTCAAGAATTTGAATGGTACCATATCTCGAGCTGATTCAAAGAAAATGCTTGTATTATCTGTATTGTTCAAGGCCTGGTACACATCTTTATTCATTTCATCGTTTTGATAGAGTTCCTGATAGATAAGCTTAGATATCAGATGTGTCATTGATTACTTCCCCAACGGAATCATATAAGGTGACACTATAATTGCAAGCTTGTTTAACATTTCTTTTGGTATCATCACTTGGGTTATCACTTGATGGTGGCTGCGCAATGACGTCATACAATGGAGCACCCTCTGGAAATGGCCCCTCCAGAACCTGATAACAAGGAGCCTCTCGTTCCTCGAGAGGTTCATTCAAAGATCCTGGATCTTCAAGGACATCGTACAAAGGCTCTTTCTGGCTGTTTGCCTTTTGCGCTTTCACTACCTTTTTGTTGTACATTGCACTATCAAAATAAGGTCGATTTTTAACTTCGTTTTTGGGATTATTAACCTCAGCATATTGTGGAGCTTCAAGTACTTTGAAAACAGGCCCTGCACTGGGATGAAATACAGAACCATGCTTGTCCAAACCCTCAACCTTACCATCATTGGACACTGTATTTTGTGGACCTTATGAAATAAAACCAAATTATTTCTGTTAATTTAGCTAATTCAATTGACTAGAATTTGACGATCATTGAATGACCACGTTGCTCGGAATGGCTAATAGGAATAGTTTTGACTAGGAAGCCTATTCGTAACAAAACCAAGTAGCCATTATATTATGTCAGCTCGTGGTGACGGATTCTGAGTGCTACCAAAATGCAAGTAAAACATTTTTCTTTCTCTTTTACGAGGACTTACCTTTATTAGGGTGACCATTCGACATGTTTCTTCTGCCAAGTGTTATTGCATTYGTATAGGCATACGAGTACTCATCCTGGTCCAGTGACTTGTGACCATCGCAGTCAGTCATCTTCAAGGAGTTATCAACCCCTTTTTCGTAACTAACATTTTCTGCAAAAATAAGGCAAACAAAACTTTTGGAAGTAACGCTGAATATGCCATTATATCTCATTGCTTGAATAATGTGCACCACAAATAGGTCGTGGCCTGGTGGTATAGTTAAATACTATTATGTCTTAATGCATCAATATTGTGCTCCAAAAAGCCGGTATTTTTGGTTATACCTACATGACAAATTAACACTATGATATAATAGTTATAACCAATTTTGACTTACCAACAGTTGTTTTACTTTTCGCAGCTGCAGCTTTCCTGTGGGAAA